TTCCGGGAGGCAGTCTATCGCAGCTATTGAGGTCCAAATGGGGACCACTTAAGGACAACGAACCCACCATTTCTTTCTATACGCGACAAATACTGGAAGGTTTGAAGTATTTACACGACCAGAAGATAGTGCACCGGGATATCAAAGGGGATAACGTTCTCGTCAATACTTACACCGGAATACTCAAAATATCAGACTTCGGTACGTCCAAGAGGTTGGCCGGTATTAACCCACACACGGAGACCTTTGCCGGAACCTTCCAATACATGGCTCCCGAAGTCATAGATCAGGGACAGAGAGGTTATGGCGCACCGGCAGATATATGGTCTCTGGGCTGCACTATTGTTGAGGTGTGTGTACTCTAAGGAATACCACATGTTCTGTAGATTTCTATAAGATTTAATGAATTTTAATTTACATCTAATTTGTCACCTGAAAGATGGCAACTGGAAAGACACCATTCATAGAGTTAGGGTCGGGTCAGGAGATTATATTCAAAGTAGGCTTCTATAAAGAGCACCCGCAGATCCCACCCTCGATGTCAGAAAAGGCCCAGAAGTTTATCCTCCGGTGCTTTATTCCCGATCCCTTCGAAAGAGCCACTGCTTCACAACTACTCGACGATATATTTCTAGACACCGGTTCCCATCGCAAGAAAAAGCCGACCCCTTCTCCGCTGACTGTCAGCCCTACGCNCCCTCGATGTCAGAAAAGGCCCAGAAGTTTATCCTCCGGTGCTTTATTCCCGATCCCTTCGAAAGAGCCACTGCTTCACAACTACTCGACGATATATTTCTAGACACCGGTTCCCATCGCAAGAAAAAGCCGACCCCTTCTCCGCTGACTGTCAGCCCTACGCGCGGCTCTCTTATCAATGATTTCAATCGCTCCATATCTGTGCCCATTGACCCCCAGTGCAAGACTGACCGCCAAGAAGGACGGGTCACTCGCTTCTCGAGTACTGGTGAAGACGGGTATGAAGTTATCGCTAATATTTTGCACGTTTTATATCTATTTATGTACCGCATGTTTAGTGCATCCAATTTGCACCTAAATATAACTCGACGGTGTGCCAGTCCTTTCGACTCTGGCCCTCATTCACCCGCTATGTACTCTCAGAGGTATACCTCATGTTATGTAGATTTGATGTTTGTTTTATTTGTTTCGACTCTTATTATGGGTATTGTTATTATTATTTGTATTTTACTTTGTGTGAAACTCTTATTAGTCATAAAACCCTGAATTTTACGAATATATAGTTCAGAAGACGCTCCTTACGCCCGGCGCTCCAGTGGTGTCCTATTGTCGCCTCCTGTCGAGGGAATGTCCACATTGGGTACGATCGGTGAGTCAGAACAGGAGGGCTTCTTCCTGTTGAAGAAGGACTCGCAAAGGAGGGCCACTTTGGTGCAGGTGATCACCGAAGACGCTCAGGCTATCTGTGAGCTGTGGTTCCATTTGTTGCGGCAATCGGTGCAGGACTTAGTGCTCACACAAACCCATTTGCATCGCATACTACTGCCCGGACTCCGGGATTTCATACCTCAGACCAAACGGACGCACATCGAGAGGGCAATCGCTTTACTCAAAGAAGAGCTTGACTTCGATGGCGCGGCCATCAATCAGATCCAGTTAGCGCTGCTTAGCTTCCAAGAGGCGGTCAACTTAGTGCTCAGAAACCACAGTATTAAACCGCACTGGATGTTCGCTCTGGACAGCCTTATTAGGTCCGCAGTTCAGGCCGCCATCACTGTCCTCTCGCCAGAACTTGGAGAGAACATCGCCGGCGGAGAGCTTCGCGATGAGGTGGAGGAGCCCGTCAATGACATGGAACAGGACAGAGAGTCGACTTCCGGTGTCTCGACTATAAACTCAGCCAAATCAGTAGTATTACGACCTGTTATTAATGTGATTCCATCCGAGGATCAACTGATCCATCAGTTGCAGCAAAAGAGTGAACAACTGAGGAGTGAAAACCTCAGACTCTTTCAGGAATTGATAGAAACTCAGGAAACGCTTCAGGAAATGATAAAAAGCACTTTAAATGAGACGAAAGTGCAAATCAATTTAGTGCAACAGCAGCAGCAAAACCCATCACTTAGTCCAGTGTTCAGCAACAGCTCCACTTCCACTCTCATCCCATGTAATAAGATTACCGCCAATAGTATGGAAACCAATAGAATTCCTGACAAAGAATTGATTGCTTTTTTAACTGATTTAAGAATAGATGAGGAATCCATTGGCAAAGTATTTATACTTTTCATATTAACTCTGCAATTAATTTGATATTAAACTGCTGTGCAATGTTTGACATGAATATGCATTTTGTTGACAGTTTGTGAATGAAGACTACACTCTAAGGGACTTATCATCGATGACTCGCCAGGATTTAAGGCGTCTTAATCTGAAAGGAGGCGTCGAATTGCGAATATGGAGAGCTATTGAAGATCATAAAAGTCGTAAACAATTGGAAGTCATTGAAGAGGATTAATGATTATTATATAACGAATTAATTTGTATTATTTACATTAAATTTTACAATATTTTATTTCAACTTCGAGTGCCTTACGAGTAGGACTGTGCAATCAGATCATGCCATTGATGCTCAATATAGCGTTTTACTCTAAATTTAATCATAATATTAATTGTTTAAAGAGTTTATACGAGATTAAAATGATTAATAAAATCAGTTATTGTGTGCTACGATCACACGACTACTTATAAACTATTTATCGTTACAGTAATATACGACTGCAATAATAAATGTTTAAATTTTTATATAAAATTGATTTAAAAGCCAAGTGTTGTATTAATTTGATTCTTATTGTAAGTTTATAATCGATTTTATTAATTATTTCAATCGTTAATTAGTTTATAATTTAGAAATTAATTTCATTTAAATTTACAGCAAATGAGTGTTAAGTTTTAATTATTAATTGTATTTTGTTTTTGAAATAAAATCTTAAAATTAAAAAATACCTGGAGTGTCAATAATTTAAATTAAATATAAATTAATGTTTTGTCAATTTATTTAAGCAAAAGCACTGATTATAAGCTTTTGAACGCAAATGAGTGGAAATATTGGCTTAAATCCAAATATATATTCTTTGTCCCATTTTTCACATTAAACTCTACAGTGAATTGAAAAAGTGAACAAAAAGTATTGCCGTATTATAACAACTTTTAAGTGATTAGTTTTTAATTGCTATAAATGGTGTCATAAGAATTAAAATTAAAATTCTTTGTAGTTTTTAGATCTTTTGTTATTTTAATTTCACTAAATATTTCTGGCGTTACTCCCGATAGTTAACGCCAAGATTTACTGATTTATTATCAATATATTACGATTAGTATTGGGGATTTAATAATTTATATTAATTTTTAAAAGTATAACTAAATTAGTTAATGTCTAAAACAAATTATGAAGTATTTTGCACTTAATTATAATAATATGGATTTTATTAATGTTAAATATTAACCAATTAATCAGCTATTATTTTGTATTTTCTGTATTTTGGTTTTGCCTTAAATAAATATTAATATTAAATTCAGGTAATTGTTATGATTAAGGATTACATTGGATTAGTATTATAAAGGATTGCTTTCTGATGAATTTGTGTCAAGTCTGCGGAGAGTTTTATGAAATAAAAACCAATAGCAGTAATACACGAGTCTTACAAAACCTATAATTATTTTCATTTAAACTAACAATTATTGTTAAATTGTTTTATTATACGCTAATCATATATCGATTCCATTATTATCTGAAAATCCTTTTATGGTTTTATAGTTTTTTTTTTGTTTTATTTTTGGATAAATTTTATCAAAATTTAGCATTGAATTAGTGGATGAATAAGCTGTTATATTTAAAATTATTTAATTACATAGATTATCTTTCTTTGCATTACATATTTACAAGATTTTTAAAAATATTTCTTACAATTATTTTTATAAGTTGAGATTTTAAACTGTAGTAACTATCAATTAATAATATAAAATAATATAATATTTTACAATATTATATGTACTTTTCAATTTAAAGTGATTAATAGTATATCAATATTACAGTAAAAATATAAAATTATTATATTTAAATTTGTTTAGTAAAATATTTGATTTTCATATTTACCGTAGATTTATAATTTGCTGGACAATTGGTGACTAATAATGTACTGTACAGTATTGTGTTTAACAAATTTAATATTGTATTAACATNTTAGTAAAATATTTGATTTTCATATTTACCGTAGATTTATAATTTGCTGGACAATTGGTGACTAATAATGTACTGTACAGTATTGTGTTTAACAAATTTAATATTGTATTAACATTAATAACTTATAGTTACTGTTTTAATTCCTAGGACATTATTCTAATACTGAATTTAATTATTACAAAATTAAGTACAGTATTAAATAGAATTTGAATGTTAAAATAATTTTATTTAAAGTGGTGTATGTCTTGTTCATATAATCATAATTAAATTGATGGTTAACTTACATAAGTATAAATATTTTATTGAGATTATCTGAACTTGAACTCAATTGTATTAATTTGCTTTCATTCAGGAAAGTAGTCAACAATTAAATCAATACTGAATTTGAATGATAATTAATGTCAAACTTATATTAAAACTTAAACTATATTTTGTAAATTGCAATTAAGTTTTTATTTTTACCGAGAGATTTAACTTGAGAAATATGATGAAATTACTTTCATATATAGCATGTTAACCAATAATTTATGTAATAATAAGTAATGTAATAAATATATAAAATAAGGTTAAAATTAAGTTTTTATTTTTACCGAGAGATTTAACTTGAGAAATATGATGAAATTACTTTCATATATAGCATGTTAACCAATAATTTATGTAATAATAAGTAATGTATATTTATATATTTTATTCCAATTTTTATGTTTTTCATAAGTTCATATTGTGGGTTTGTGGGACAGTAAGTTAAAACTAGACTAAAGATAGCTATTTTCATCACATGTAAGTTTCACGGGTATCCAAAGGGTTTAGGCCCATGGGTTTAGACATCTATGACTTTCCTCTCAAGTGATGATTAATTATATTTGAATGAGAATTGCCTCAAAACATATGCCGACCTAATGTCTAGACTCCTCTCATCTCCAAATCATTTACTTTGAAACTCTGGTCAATGATTCACAAAGTTTTCAATGATCTTCAAAAGGGGTTATAGTTATCCATAAGTTCTTCAGTGTTTCAGTTGTCAAACATTTAACTCTAAATAAATTGATTTAATTTTTTCATCATATCAATCTTTCAAAATTAACTTACTATTTAATTAAATAACTTATTTACCTTAGTTTTATTTTCTTTTATAAAATAATTTATATATATTTATTCTTTCACAAAGTATTTACTGAAAGATACCCTAATAACAAAACGATAAATTCAAAGACTTTTCTTTTTTATTTCTGGTTTTACTTCTTATTTGTTTGGTTTTTCTTAAATTAATTATAAAAATAATTATTCAAAAATCCTTCATTTATTTCCAAAAACTAATGAAACTTTTTTCGAATAGTTTTTTATTAGAAATTTTGTTTTTTACGAAAAAATTAAAGGATCGATAAGACACGACCACACCTTTGCGAACCATTGGTTATATTAATATTTAAAAATATTTAAATTTTTTATTTATTGTAATTCCGATAATTAGATCTCAAGCTAAGCAATGCATAAAATACAGTGACTGATGAAATCCTTGTACTTGATTACTATAATACGATATTAAATATATATTTAATACTCCAAATACATGTGAAACTAATTAATATTTTCACGTTTTTGTCACTTAGTTTTTCAATGACATAAATCAAGGCATATATAAAACTCCTCCGAAGTCTTGTACCGATCAGTTGAATCCGTTGTCAATTGATTGCAGTTCACAGCAAAGACTACTCCACAATGAAAATCGCTATTTTGTGTGCACTCGTCGGCGTCTCGCTGGCCATCCCCTACGAAGTTAGTTATGGAAAGGCTGTCAACACCGGCCGATCACAAGTGATGCGAAAGGACGACGTAAGTCTCACTCAATTCCATGAGTTATGTCTTATTTCATGAGTTTATCGTATGGTATGATAGGGTCACGGAAACTACGAGTTCGGATACGATGAGGACCACCACTCTGGAGGCACCTCCAGACGCGAAAAGGGTGGTAAGGGATGGCAAACCGGTTCATACGAGCTGAGAGACAGAGACGGACGCAAACGAACCGTGAAATACGTGGCCGACGCCCACGGATTCAGAGCTCAGGTCGACACGAATGAGCCCGGAGTTGATGCCAAAGAAGATCCCGCAGACGTCAACATCAACAAGAATGGATACGGTATCCAATGGGCACAACCCGTGACCACTTACATCGCAAAGGCTGAGCCCCAGATCCTCATCGCTAAGGCTGAGCCCCAAATCATTTCGTACGGACAACTGTCTCTCGACAACGGAAACTACGGAAAGGGATGGGCCTCGGGATACGAGTCCTCCTGGGATAATAATGGAAACTTGTACGGCAAATACTAGACACTTAGCACTGGTTTAATCGATTGCTGAATCAAATGAATGGTTTTTCAAAGTTTTAGAATTTTAAATATTAATTATCAAATATTACAAATATTGTAAAGTTATTATTAAGTTATTATTTCAATGATTACTTCACTTTCAATTGCTTTGCTTAATGTGTGACTCAGTTTTTAGTTGTTTTTCAAATAAATATAATTTGTTTTTGCTCTGAAAACTGTTCATCTTATTCGCACTCTATGGTACAGTGTCTATGACATAGACACGACACTATGTCAAATACGATCAGACCATTATTTATCAAATTAACTAGTCCACTACCTATTTAACTAATTTATATATGTTTCTTAAAATACTGGTATATACTGAAATAACTGTTATTACCTATTAATTCAACAAAGTGCTTTATCATTAGATAATATTATAGTAATTATTAAAATATTACTTTTCGAACTACAAAATTAGCTTGATAGTGATCAAATATACTGCAAATTACTGGGTAATATACTGGGTAAATTCTTATCGTAATTGTTAAGGGGTAATGTCTAAACAGTAGGATAAAATAAATATTTTGTATACTTTAATATTAGATACTTTGTGAGACAATTGATTTATAAATTAGAAATTCAATTACAAATAATTCTCGTAGCTACCGTTACCGCTACCATTACTATTAATCATACACTTAATTAGTATAAAATTAAATAATTTTAAAAATAAGATCACTTCTCATTGATTGTACTGTTAGAAATTCTAACTTAGAATTTAAAATTTAAATGGATTATTCTTACATATTCTTAATTTGTTAGTATTACAATATCTTTTTTAATCAAATGTTAAATGTTTGCTAATCTGTAAAAATGTAATCCAATCATTTGAAAACAGATTAAAACAGTTTTAATAAAACTGTTACATTCTTGCGATTTTTAAATTAAAATTACTTCATTTACTGAATTACACAGTGATATGCTATAAATTAATATGGGCTGATAAACAATGCATTTCCTAATTGAATGCAATTATAAAATCTCGCTCTTTTGACAAATGAATGGAAATTTTAAAGCAAAACATTTGAAAATGTCTTCAATAAGAGTGTTGTATTTGATGAGAGCCTACAAGAGAATGAATTCATTGATTAGACCACAAATGTATTGACTAATAAACGCAAAGCAGATCTCAATCACTCCAAACCTATACAAAGAGAAATCCAAAGACAGCGGCGAAGAGATAAAAGAGATGAAAGATTTGGCGGATTTAGAGCAGAATCTAAAGAAAATAATCAACTAATAAACGCAAAGCAGATCTCAATCACTCCAAACCTATACAAAGAGAAATCCAAAGACAGCGGCGAAGAGATAAAAGAGATGAAAGATTTGGCGGATTTAGAGCAGAATCTAAAGAAAATAATCAACGAATACATTGATCCCACCTCTCCTTTCGAAGGACTCATCAATAGATGGGTGTCTAAGCCATGGATCAGATTCTTTGGCGATAAGGTTAAGAAAGTTCGAGTAAAGGAACGAAAGGAAGCGCCGGCTCTGACGGACGGCATGTTTCGGATGGCCTTCGATTTGGCCGGTTTTCGTGCCGAAGACATTCGGGTCATTGTCTCGAACTCTAAGCTCTATATCGAGGCGAAGAGAGAGGAAGCCAATGAAGACGGCTCTAAGGCTTGGCGTGAGTTCTCCTATGAATGTCTGATACCCTCTGAAATAAATTTGGACACTTTGGGGGCGTTTCTCGACTCCGGAGGACTTCTTATAATCGAAGGCGGAATGACGACCATTGAAGTGATGGGAATCAAGAAGAGTTCCGTCCCTAAGAAGAAGAAATAACTCATTTTTATTTATATTTATTTTAAACATTTTGTAAACACTTTTATTTAATTTTGATTCAAATAAATTATTTTTAACTAACAAGTAAGTTAGTAGTTAACAATTTTAGTTAAACTAAATGACAACTTAAGGAGGTATGAGTAACTACACTGGAATTTATTACAATTCCTGTTATCTATTACATATCCTGTCTAATTATATAAATATTTTTAGAGAAAATCACAAAAATTTAAAACCATTTTCTATTTGTGAATCAGTTGTTTAACTTATAGTAAGACAATATAAATTTTATATAGAATGGCAGTGGAAGTGGCAGTCAATACTAGTTTCACTCCATATATATTTTTAATCAGTGATTTCTAATAAAAATATATCTATTAATAAAATAATATTATTCATATAAATTGTAATATGCCAATAGTTTTTCCTTAGTAATGTTTTAGTTAAGTTTTTTTTGTTAAATATAAGTTATATTATATAACTAAAATGTTGTTTTATTAAATTAGTTTTCAAAACACTACTAAAATGTATCATTTATGAAAGAATGATGTGCCTATTTGTGAAACTACAGTACTGTACGTCCAACTCTAAATCATTACACGAATCAGTGGTTATCATCGGTAATACGGACACTCGAGCGGACAAAATACAAAATGCAACCACAAAAAGACCAAATATTGACGACAATTGAAAGTGAAAGCATTTAAGTTTACTCACTAAGGCATTAGGAATTTATGCGATTTACAGATTTAAATAAAGATAACTTTAATGGTGTTTGAAGTGTACAGTGCGAACAGCTTTTCTATATTTGTTTGGATCGTTGACTTCATGACTAGTATGGATCTAATGTTGAAAATGAAAATTCTGTAATAAATAAAACGCTGAACTATATCTACAAAGGCAATTGAATCGGTGAACTCAAGTCAAGCGAACTTTCACTTCACTCTCACTTTTCATAACCTGAAACAAACTTTTTAGGACTCGTTTGCCCACATTTATCGCTAATTACAGAGCAATTAAAATTTTAGTATAAATATATATTTAGAAAATATTATTTAGTTAATCCTCTTCTAAGCAGCAAAAAAGACAGCAGAAAATCAAAATGTTTATTATACTTAATATTTTCTTTCTAACTATTATTCAATTGAATATTGAATTTGTTAAAACTGAAGACACTTTAACGGATCCAAAGGTTGTCTGCTATTTCAGCGCTTGGGCTGTATATCGAGAGAAACCCATGGCTTATGACATTGAAGACATCCCTGGTGACAAATGTACTCACATTATCTACAGTTTCATTGGTTTGGATAATAAGACATACGAATTGAGAAATATTGATCCGAGTTATGACATCGAGAATAAGGGATTTGAACGGTTCGTTGGTTTACGTAAAAAATATCCCAAACTTAAAATAATGGTAGCAATCGGGGGGTGGGCTGAGGGCGGCCAACAGTACTCGCAAATGGTGGCCGACAAAGGGAAACGACAGCGTTTTGTTGAACAAGTCATTCAATGGCTAAATAGGTATGATTACGACGGCTTTGATCTCGACTGGGAGTATCCCGGAGCCAGCGATAGGCAGGGCTCGTATTCTGATAAACAAAACTTTTTAGAACTCGTCAAGGTTTGCAAAGTTTTGAGATTTTTTTATCTTGAACAGTTTTTATCTTGAATTGATTGTTTCAATTGAATAGGAATTGAGAGAAGAATTTGACAAACAGAGCCGTAAACTATTGCTAACGGCTGCCGTTCCCGTCGCTAAGTTCCGTCTACAAGAAGGCTATGAAGTATACGAATTGGGACAGTATGTCATCAGTTGCTTGTTCTCTAACTCGATACATGATTTAACCCAATAAATTGATAAAACTGGTACTAGATTACTGGATCAAATCCATTTGATGACATATGACCTGAGAGGCAGTTGGACTGGTTTTGCGGACGTCCACTCCCCGCTGTATCGCAGACCTGGAATCGATGAGTGGGCGTATGAGAAGCTCAATGTGGTATTGTCTTCATATCTATCACTTCCTATCACTTCCTATCACTTCCTATCACTTCCTATCACTTCCTATCAATATATTCAATGTAATCGTGAATCGTATACTTATAAGAATGATGGCGCAAACTTATGGTACACTATGGGAGCGCCTAAACATAAATTAATTATTGGAGTGCCCTTCTATGGCCGCACCTATACGTTGGGCAGTAAAGACAATCATGGATTGAGAGCACCCATCAAGAGATGGGATGCAAATAACGGCGGCGGAGAACCCGGAATATATACAAATGCCTCCGGATTTTTGGCATATTATGAAGTAAGTTGCCATCAATTTCTTTAATAAATTGTATTTTAAATTCTGAATATTCTGTTGTTATTTGAATACAGTATAAATAACTTGTGAATATGTTTTCAAATTCTCAACTAAAGTTTCAAGTTTAGTCACTAAACCAGTATTTTACTGATATTTTTAAGAATAACTTCTTTAATTGTAAATAATATATATTTTTTCAAATTACAAATTAATCTAAATTTAAAGATATGTGTAAAACTTAAATATTTTTAAGATATGTGTGGAAACAAACTCTGGGAACTGGACTAAAGAGTTCGATGCTATAGGCAAATGTCCGTTTGCTTATTGGGATAACCAATGGGTTGGCTATGAGGACGAGAACAGTATTGGAATCAAAATGGATTTTATTAGGAGTGAAGGCTATGGCGGAGGAATGATTTGGGCCATCGATTTGGATGACTTCACTGGTGTTTGCGGGGGAAAGAAGAACGCATTGCTTAACGTTATGAACGATAAATTGAAAGGATATCAGGTCTTAGTGCCCGACCCCTCAAAGTTGACAACTACTGCAAAGCCTGGCAACCAGTGGTGGCCACAACCTGTCTCTACATCCACAGCAAAGCCAACGACAAGCAAATCAAAGTCAACAAAACCATCAGTTGTTTCAATAACTCCGAGCACTAGTAGTTCTGTTAAGACCACCACAACAACTGGCAAACCTAAAGCAACTAAACCTTCCGTTGTATCCATCACCCCGAGTACTACCAGTACTACCAATACTCCGAGTACTACCAGTACTACTACCAGTACTACCAGTACTACCAGTACTACCAATACTCCGAGCCCTACCAGTCCTCCCAATACAATCAATACATCGCCCGAAACTCCTAAAACGAGTTCAACGGAAGCACCGCCCGGTTCTATCACTGAGAAATGTGCTGAACCTGGGGTACTGTTTGTCCCCCACCCTGATTGCAAAATGTACTACTGGTGCGTTCATGGGGTACCAGTCCTCCAGACGTGCCCTAGGAACACAATATGGGACGTGAACTCAAACAGATGCGAGTGGTATAACCCAAACAAAAAGGATTATAATTGTAACACTAGTAGTATTGACAATCAATTATAAGATAAATAAAAATCATATTTGAGTTACAATTAAAGCGCTTTTAATCAATAATACAGTGAATATAATATATTAAATAATGTTTTCATTTTAATAAGAATATTGTTATCAATAAAATGTCTTAAAATAGCTATTTATGGACACCAGGACTGACACCAACTGCTTCTGGTGTCCGTCTGATCCGCTAATTGAATATTAGACTCATTTGCTGACCAAAGGCCGGGGGTTTGGATAATCTTTTGGACCAATTCCTCGAAAGCGCATTCGACGCCTTCCTTAGTCTTAGCACTGGCTTCGATGAACAGCGTGTGATGTCTTCGCGCCCATTGGAGACCCTCTTCACGAGTGACAACTCGGCCCTCCTTTTCATGAAACAAACAATAAGACAATGAATGCATGAATACAATGGACACAAGACTTGACACAAGACTTGACACAAGACTTGACACAAGACTAGTGACAACAGAAGACAAGTGATTGAATACTTTATCGATTTTGTTGGCGACCAACATCTTGACGACATCCGAGTGCGTGCAGTAGGCGTCCACTTCTTTGAGCCAATTGTCCAATCGGTCGAATGTAGATCTTTGGGTCACATCAAACACCACAATCACACCGTGAGAGCCGCGGTAGAAGTTCGGGGTCAGCGCCCGGAACCGCTCGGAGCCCGCAGTGTCCCAAATGGCCAAAGACACCACCGATGAGTCCACTCGCATGCGAGTCGTCTTGAAGTCCATTCCTGTAACACATATAGAGGTCACCAATTGGTCAGTGATGGACAACTCGTGTCAATTGGTGTCAATGAATACAAACCAATAGTTGCGGGCATTTCTGTGGCAAACGTGTCATCAGTGAAACGAAGTAACAAACTGTTCAATGGTTCAGACAATGGTTCAGACAATGGTTCAGACAATAGATTCATTCAGACAACAGTAATCACACCATTACTATGACTTGTAATCATTTCATTTAATGCACACATACCTCGACTTTCCCACAAAGGATTCGCCGATTATAAGTATCTTAAGAGTGGTTAAGACGTCTTCCTCCAAGTCATCCATAAGTCATTCAAAGAGTGTATTCAGTGAACAACTGATTGTCAAACAGTCGCACAATAAAAGTCAAATCAAGTCAACAGTCATATGACTCACACATAGAAGACATTCAATGATTACGTAATGTTTACAAACACTCAAAAGTCATGTGTTTTGCTCGCAAACAACGTTACAGTGAATGAGTGGCTGAGAGTTGTTTCGTTGGGATTTCGATTGGATTTCATTGAATGAGTGATTGAAACATGTCTTCGGTTGGGATGTCTTCCAAGAGGTCTAAAGCCAAGCGAAACAAAGGCACGACTCTTGAGGAGCACAATGAGGGCACGACTCTGTTGCCGGGTATGTCATCACATTGGATCCAATTGATACCAATTGAGCGCTCATGTGATGTTTGTGTCCAACAGGTCGTCGTCCGTGTCTTTGCGAGGCATCCAAACACCAATTAGTGGCCAATTGTCTCAATTGTGGCCGAATTGTGTGCGCACAGGAGGGCACCGGTAGTTGTTTCACATGCGGCCAAACGGTGATGACTCGTGAGCAGAGACAGGAGCTTAAGATCCAGCAGAATATCAAACAGTTGGCAATCGACGAGCTATTGTCTGCCGCAGAGAGCAAACCGATGGTCAGCACTGGTCTGAAGGACATCGCCGCCAGTTTTGAAGCGCATAGGAATCTGGAGAAAGCGATCGGACATAAGGACCAAATGCTGGACTTCGACCGCAACTCTTCCGTCAGAACCAAAGTGATTGACGACCAAAACGACTACTTCTCTCTCGGGTCGCAGAACTGGATCTCAAGCGACAAACGGAGGGATATATCGAAGAAAGTGGAAGAACTGCATGAAAACAAACTGAAGAAGAATCGCAAGATTCTCATTGATTTGATGGAACACTCGGCCATAGAGTCGAGTGAACCCGTGATCCCTGACTTTGACCATCAGATCGAAAAACTGATTAAAGAAAGTGAACTCAAAAGCGATTACCAGAAAGTGGAGGCCAAGCAGTTCATTGAACACAACTACCAAACACTTCCCGTTTTAAAGTATCTTAAGAATGACAACAAACGTAAAGACCAATCAAACGATGAACTAAATGTCAACAAAAATTTGGTCAAAATGTTTAATAATATGAGAGTTCAGGACAAAGAACTGATGACAATGTCTGACGAGGGAATGTGTCTATCAGTGAACCAACCGTTTGCATCGCTTCTGGTTTATGGTATTAAGCGATTCGAGGGTCGGAACTGGTATTCAGCCTTCAGAGGAAGGCTTTGGATTCGTTCCAATAGCAAAGCGCCGGATCAGCACAACATCGATGACATCCACAAGTTGTACACGTTTGCTGGCATTAAGACATTCCCGGATTCATACCCCACATCATCACTGGTGGGCTGCGTCACTGTCACTGATTGTCTCCCATTTGAAGAATATCGAGACAAATACCCGGAGGGCGACACTGAAGCCAGTTATATACTGGTTTGCGAAGATCACAAACGACTGTCCCAACCATTGACCACTTCCTCTGCAGGCAATCGGATCTATAAACTTAGTGACAAAGTTCTTATCGCCGCACAAAAGGCACTGAAAATGTGATTTAAATTTGAATATAACTTGAAATGTGATTAAAATATTTGTATTAAAATATGAACTTCTGTTGCACTCATTTACAGTAAATAATTATATGTTTAATTCAAACGGATAATGGTCTTGCAGTCTCCCTGGCCACTGGCCAGTGGTCACTACAATTCGGGTTCATATTTGTGACGTTATTTATTTTGAGTTGAATTTGAAAAATTGGGCGCTTTTTGAAAAAAATTAATGAAAATATTTTGAATAAATAACGTAATGGTTGTGAAATGAATTTGAATGCAATGTGAGTGCAAAGGGGACTGAAAAGTGAGTCAATAATAGGACATAATTGATGAGTGGCTCACAAACTATAACCGAAACACTGATTGAAAAGTAGTTTTGTTTTGATTGGCATTTGATTTGGCAGTGAATTAGCGATCAATGAGTTGTGAAATGAGTCGCGATTTAAACAAACTGTGGACTCAATTGAGTGACACTTTGAATGGCATCAAAGACATGGATGACGTGAGTGTGAAAGGAATGAGCGATGGGTTCGAGACCGCGAAGAAAGGTTTGATGGAAACGATGGACTCATTGATTGATTGATTGATTTGTTGATTGAATGGATGTATTGGTGACAGAATTGAATGGTTCGGTGAAGGAGTGGAAGCGATGCGCGAAAGACAAGCAAAGAGTGGCCGTAGAGATAGAGAGCGTCCAAAAGGCTATAATGAAAGCCAAGGCTAACATCGAAAAGGCTGAACGCAAGTCATCCGATGTCCACAAGTGTATGATATGTCCACTGATTTGATTGCTTCCAATGAATGCTTTAATGGTTTGTTTGAATACAAAGACATCGAAAAGCTGTCGAAGAAGAACGACGAGAACAAAGAGAATGTGGAAAATGTGATGAATGTCTGGAATGCCATTGGATTGAGAATCGAGAAAAGAGAGGATGTCTTCACTGTCCGGTTCAATAAGATCTCCGAAACGGATCCAAACAAATGGTTTACTGTTAAAGTGAACGCCGAAGACAAACGGATTAAAGGTTTGCTATTAAGACACCACTCGATGTGTGTTTTAATGAATACGAAACGATTGCTCCTTTGGATCAGTTGTGGAGTGCGATCCCAAGGATTCTTTGGACACCAAACTCATTGAGGATGAGTTCAACTCCAGAAGCGATGACTCGAAACCAGATTTGCGTCATTTGATTGCTTTCATGAGAAGTGCTCTCAAGAAAAGACACTCCAAATGAGATAACCCTTCATATGATCACCACTTCATAACACTTCTGACGGTAATACGAAAATATATTTTAAATATACTTTTATCAAACATTTTCACAAGTTTTATACACAATAAAAACATTTCTAAATTCAATAAAAAATATTTTACATTTTATTTCCACAATATTCAAAGTGTTTATATAAATAGTATTAAATACTAAAAGCGGATAATAAATATTTAACTTAAAAAAAGTTACAGAAATCATTTCTGTTCCCTTATATCACTGAATCATATCGTATGCCTCATTCTGGACTAAAACATATGACAAAACATAAGTTAATGCAATGAATAACTTAAAAAGTACTAAATATGTTAGACTCCGACCAATTGATGACAGGTTATAAGTTTTAGTCGATATGCTATCGAATGGGAAGCATTTGATATACTATTTCCTTATTTTTTGGTTTCAGGAATGTGTAGATTATGTAAAACAATGTCATTAAAGAGAGAGTTAGAAGTGATCCAAACAAATACGACATCACTGTGGGATCAAACATTTGAGTCAATAATTACATAAACATTTGTTTGATATGATTGTTATAAACCTGTGTTTGTGGCTAAAGACAGGGAGTCATTGTTATGACACTCTTGGTTCCAGTCGCCAGGAATCAGATGATTCACTGATTGAACAAACTGTTGGAAATGGCATTCAATTGTTGCGTTCATACAGTTGGGTAAAGTCAGAGCAATTGGTTCTTCCGATTCAGTGTTATTTAAATAAAACATTTCAATCATTGGTTTGCCATTTGATTGACGCAATTCTATCATAATAGTGGACCCTTTCAGACAAATGACCACAAATTGTTAACAAATGCTTTCATAAGTAGTTTATTGAATTCATACCAAATGGTGGGGACTTCCTATCGAAAACATTGAGAGCATTCAATAGGAGTGCCAGTTGTGTGTCGTGCTATACATGCAATACAATACCAATTAAATCAATGTTTAATTACATTTACAACAAACATTTAAAAATAACTTACTGTCGAATAAATGTAAATTTTGTTGAGCAGAGGATCAGTTGTACTGACTTTTCTATTCACAGTTTCATTCATGTGTTTAATAATATCTTTAAGAAGTAATCCTTTAAATAGAAATCCAAATCAAAATACAGTAAATGCTTGAATGCAATGCAAACTCATTGAAATCAATACCAGTTCTCAAGCGTTGGACTAATTGCGTGGAAAAGTCGAAATAAAAGGTCATATCAGAGATTTGACTCAATTTCTCGTAAGTGGTCGCATCGGATGCCCATCTCGGCAGAGGATATCCGTTCTCCTTCTCGATCAGTAAAGTGTCGAACACTTCTTCAGCGCCATTCAAATCAGTTATATTTAAACCCGTATTACTCGACACGTAGTTTAAGATATCCTAACAATTTTGGTATCAAATAAATGACCACAAGATTAATGCGCTGATAGTCATCACAAGCAAGTGATGTACCTTTGATTGGTCCACATATTGAAGATATTCCGGGGAATTATGAATTCGAGTCAACTCCTGTTCGGCGGCCAAACACTTGGACCCAGAATTCAGCATCTGATCAATGGGTCAAAGACATGGAAATTAGTTCTCAAAAACATTGAGAAACAACTTTTAGAAGACATACGCCATCAACATCTCGAGGTTCAGTTTGTATAGGAAAGGGCTGCCATTGATGTCCCAAATCGTTGTTCCACTGCCACCTGATTGCAGTAATCATTGGCTTAAAAGCATATTTCAATGATTGACAATAAGTGACAATAAGTGACAATACCTTCCCTCTGGTCTGTAGAGACCTGCCATCACTAAAGCCACACTTTCTAGACATCTATCGGCTGCCGAACTCCTGATCTGCACTTCTCTTGGATTGGAAGACAAGAAGTCTTGGTATCGCTTCCGCAGATATTTGCCTAAACCATACATTCGTTGTTTACCGCGCTTTGGAGGACAAAGTGATTATCAATTAATGGATGAAATGTGTGTCATATGAGTGGACATGACATACAGGCGTCAGTTCTCCCCAACCGTCGGCCCAATACGTGTCGTTAGAATATGGATCAGTTGGGTAGCACTGGATTGGCGTGCGATCACCATGCCTGTGAATCTGATGGTCAACATGTCATTCAGTATGAGATACTACTCTATCTTCACATATCATACTCACCACAAATACAAGTTTGAGTTCAGATGAAACGGTTGCACCAATGGATGAGTGAATGAACAGATCGTTATAAGCCATAAATATGACCAATGAGTGCAATATGTGTTTCATTGCACCACTGATCCAATGAGTGGTCACTTTAGTTGATATATATTTGATAAATGGTTATGTGATATGTCACCAGAATATATAGACCACCATATAGATGTAGTTTAGTAAAGTACCCATCACCAATTTGCAAGTACAGTATTATGATATTCTGTGAATTTTACTTATTGTGGGGCCATTCATAAATTATGTACTAGACATAGTATTGATAATTTAAGAATATTTTATACTATGCTAGGTCATTCTAATTAAATTCTAATTTTTATAATAATATTTAATAAATCTTAATAATATTTAAAGGAAATTTAAGTTATTTTATAATATTCTGTGAAAAATTGAGAATAATAGATTTTGAAATAAATATTGAATTATATTAATATTTAAATATTTATTAAAAAGTTATTGACTTTAATGGTAACCTTCATTTAATTATAACTTGAATGTCTGTTATTGAATTTTTATTATCATTTCATGTTAAATGATATAATACTTTTAAATATAAAGAATTTGCATAATATTTTTATATAACTTATAACTAAATATTTTAATGATTAAGCCATTTGTTTCTTAAAGTCAGTTTTGTATACAGCACAAGTTTTGTATGCAGTTTTTTTAATTTTTACTGCAAATTTGCCGATTATTTTATAATTGAAGTTTACAAAATGATAATATTATTTTATTAATCAAGTTTATTGAGATTTATTTGTCTGAAAGATTTTTAAAAATATATTTTATGGGATAAAAATATTGAATGAATATCTGGATAATAGCTTAGGTATTGTTAAAAAATACAAATAAAAGAATTTCTAATAAAATTATATGAAAATAAAAGCATTATGCTATAAACGTTCTCGGTGTCAGCTTTTGGTTTATATAATTATTGTTTGTAATTTGTTTTAATGAATATTACACTGTATGGCATAATAAATATAACATAATATCGATGAAAAACTAATTTATTAATAAATGAATGAATATTCGCAGACATATAGACATAAGATGAGACATTCAATGGTCTCCAAACAGTGCCTTAAATCCAATTCACAGATCAAACCCAATATCGATCCGTTTTGGCGAGAAGTCAAGTCTTTTATCGACCCTTTCTGTGACCTATTTTCCCAAAACACTCCTATTATTAAAGCAAAATAAAAAGCAAAGTCTAGATTCACTGACAACACACTTATTTGTCTTATTTATATGTCTCTAATAAAATATATTCAAGTTTTAGTTTTATTTGAATTTAATACTTTAAAATCAGTAATTACTGCCACTTTATTACATATACACTACTGTTGGGTCGCAAATAACTCTTTCACATAAATTTAGCATTTCTTATGCATAAGCCATAAGTTTATTCAAATAAATTTATATTTGCAAAACTTTATATGTCCATGTTAATTGAATATTTTATTAATTAGTTTAAGTTTTAATTGTTTCTTATTAACAATATGACTTAAAATGTATACATTTTATAACTCAAAACTCTATTACTAATAAATAAGATAATTATTGTCTATTTAGGTCAGACATACACTACATATCCTAAATATTCTGTATATAATTGTCTAAAATTAGGATTAGCTTAGAATCTAGAGTTAAAGTGATTTGAAAAGAAACTTAAATACTATACTATAAGTGCTTTCTTATAATTATAAGAGCCTATAGTGAAATATTTTAAATGCATTGGAAATAGCCTTGAATTTAAAGTGAATTAACTGAAGAATAATATACTATTAATAATTGAAAGTTAAAAAACATGAAAAAATAGCCATGCGCAAAGTGTATGTATAGTATGCACCACAACATGACCCCCACTCCCCGTATAATCCTTTCATACATAGGAAATTCACATTACGACGTACGCGTCGATTTGACCCTGTTTATTACTGGCAAACTAATACATGTGTATAATTGATTTGTATCCTATATGTGGTGTGCACTGTATTTACAGCTAAACACCCTGTATATCTAACTGGAAATATTTATGATTTGCACCGTTTATGTGAGATTCAAATGTATTTATTAGTTGTTAAAAAACTAAATAAAATAAGACTTATCTGTAGTATTAATTGAAGGGAAAAATGAAATGATAAAACATAAAAGGGTTAACACAAGAGAACATAAAATATAAAATTGTTGTGAATATGAGTTGATATCTAAAAGATTTGCTGTGCTATCGATTGTAAAGGTTTTGTAGTAAATTGTAAATGTATTGAAAGGACTGAGTGCTAACCCTTTGAATGAATTTCCTTCAGAATATAATAGAGACTCAAATGAATGTATTTTGAGTCCAACTCTACCTCCGATTCTCCCCATTCTCTCGCATTTTTCCCGTTAGTATTCATTGGAAGGAAACTCTAAGTTCAGCGCAAAAATAGGTGAAAGGATTTGTTAGCGAAAGTGCTGGCGATGACTGTGATGCCGGTGCCTGTGCTGGCTGTCCAAGGATACCAACATGTCGTATATAAGCCTGAAAGCCGGATAGTGTTTGGGGGCTGAGATAACCTTCAACTCAATTCAACATTTCTATTGTATAAATAGGAATCATATCATGATTTGAGAGATTCAAGGCTACAAAATGTTCATCCATTTCAGTGCAATTATTTAACACTATATACACTTAAATTCATTTCTACTTTCAATCACTATTTTTATATTTTATTTTTCTTTCTATACATGCAATATACAAACTTATTATATATATACTCAATGATCAAATATTTTCTAAGTAAATTGTATATAATTATGATTGCACAATTTCGTAATATAATTAAAAGTTCAAACTTCTAAATGCATGAACTTTTCTATATTTGTTTAATATAATTATGAATTATATAGATAACGAATAATAAATGATAATACAGTATAACTTATGATAACAAATGACAAATAAAATGTAATGTCAATTTCCGATAGCATTCATAAACAGAATCATGTATTGATTATATAAATAAAGTTCATGACTGAGACTTTGAAATGAGATACAGTAATCAAATAAAAAATGACAATTATTTACTTTAGATATTTAAAACTCTTAACCTATAAAAAGTGTTTTCATAATCCCGTTAACAGTCGACTCAGGCCTGGACTCGGTCTCAGTCTATGTTCAAAATAAAGGGTTGTCTCTGATATGCTATAAATGTATATATTTAATAATCCTTGGCTTTAAACATATTTTTTATAGTAAGTGATATAACATATTAAATGCAAAATATATTTCTATAGAAATAAAATGAACGTCAGTCACGCTGAGCACGCTAGCACATTTTTGTCCAATGATAACTCTATGGGAGCGGTAGTTTGAAGTTTAATTTAGTGAATTATAATCGGTCTTTAGTACATTTAAGCGTGATACAAAATAGAAAACACCATATTAGAATCTAATAATTAGAAATATATAGTTTTGCAAATTTAATTACTTCAATCTAAGGACACGTGTAATGTTTTTGGATAATGAATTTAGTTTCACAAAATTCCATCAAATATTACAATATTTTAGTGTTAAGGCACATTGTTTATTCAATTAAAGCTAGATAAAATTGTATACACATTGAATTCTGTATGTGTATCATAGTTAAGTTATAACTATGTTACCATTTTATAATAAATCGATTAGATTAATTTTGATAACTCTAACGGAATATTTATATTAACGTTATTTAAATATTTTATTCTTAAAGTTAGTGTTTTGAAAATATAACTTAGTCTATGCCATAAAAAAAATATTAGATATTGTTTTTATGATATAGGCCTTATATACTAAACTAATCAAAATGTAATTAATATTTAGTGAAAATTGAATAATTTTTATCACATAACTAGAATCAGATTCTTAAGCAAAACATTTTTAACGTATTAATTCGTTACATAATGTGCTATTCAGTCATTCAACAAATGAGTTATTAATTAGTCATACATTCATTAAATGAAAATCAAATGACTTCAAACTAAATATAACCAATAAGTGAATAATCCCTGTGTTAAAGAGTACCACATTATGTGACTAACCATTCAATTTGATGCTAAATATGGCATACATTGTATGGCATACAAGTACAGTATTGCATGCGTTCAGTAGACAAGAATTGTGTTCAGTTTCAAAGTTCTTGTAATTTAACAAAATAAAGATTTAATAAATATTAAAATATTGTATTCGACAAGAATTGGTTGAATGAAAAGTAGTGGTAAATAAAGAAATCGATACAACGTTCGGTGTCCTCTCTCTCTCTCTCTCTCTCTCTTTCTTTCTTTCTCTCTCTCTCTCTCCCTCTCTCTCTCTCTCTCTCCACTGCTCACTGCTTCGCACTCTCTTTTAAACATGTATAGAGATGAACCGTTTTACTAATTTAAAAACCGACCCGATCCAATTCACACTTTAAAACTAATAAATTTGTGTCAATGTATTATAAATAGTAATCATTAATGTAAATGTTTAGTTCAATTTATTCAATAAATTTCCAGAATTTTAGTTAGCATACATTCATTTGGTAGACAATTTATTGGCTTAGCATGGCGCTTTTATTAATTTACTTATATTCTTAGAATGGGTTCATTTATTCATTATACAGCATTTATTCTTAAAGTTAACCAATTCATAAGTTTGTTATAATAGGGTATTTTGGTCATTTGCAATTTTCAAACATTATTTTGAAATTTGTGTGCACCTTGGTCACTTTTAATTAATGTTAATTATAATTATAAGGCACCTGATCATAGATTGTTGACCATTTTGTACTTATACAGTATATTGCATGAAAGCTATGTGATATTGTCAACTGGTGATTTTAATTATATATTTAAATATTAAAAATTGAAATTTTATGAAAAGTAAAATGTAATAAATGTAAGGGAATTGGAAATGGAAAGGGAGTCCGCAATGGATCTCTAAGCAAACTCCTCTATCGGTCTCTCTCTCTCTCGCTCTCTCTCTCTCTCTCGCTCTCTCACACAATGCATCCCAAGGCCACCTGAATGTGATGTGAAAGTACAGCCTCCAGACAAGC